ATTGATTCAAAATTATATTTACAATGGTAAGAATATATCGAATATTATCTTAACTATAATAAAGTTATAAGGTTTGGGAAGTAATTAATGTTACAATTAATGCCACAACATTATTTATTATAATAAAAAAAAAGTACAACATTTGAAAAATAAATAGCTATATATTATATAATCATAGAAAAAATATACTTTTGAAAAATAAAATAGCTATATATTATATAATCATATAAAAAATGTGTTCAATTAGAGTTTAAATTTACTCATACAAAATTTGAAATTTGCTTTCCAAATGTAATTATCTTAGTTATTATTCGTATTGTGAAAATTATAATATAGATGAAATACAATTAAGAATAAATAAATGTAATTATGTAAATTCTCTCTATAAGTTTATTTGAATATGCACATAATTAGAGATTATATTAACCATTACAAAATTTTAATTTTAATTTTAATTTTAATTTTAATTGTAATTTTGTATTCTATAAAAATAATAAATACTTGACCAATGGAAGCTCAAAAATATTATTATATTAAATAATTTAAAATATTTTAGTTTTTTTATTTTTTATTTATATTTATAATAACATAATTTTTTTTCGTGTATCGTGCGGGTGAATTACTAGTAGGTAAAATACCAAAATATTGATATTTGTCTTCAATACTATATTGTCAAGGTAAATGTATAGTAACTCAGTAAATTAATGAAAAAGTAAACTAATCATTTGGCTAGCATCCCTTCACCGGCCAAGCCTTCATAATTAACAACAGTTCAAGAATCTTTGACTTAATTATTTAAGAAATTAAACTCTATAGTGTTTTTTTTCTTTTTTGATAAATCTGGTTTTTAGGTTTTGTTGAACTATATATTGTAATTTTTTGTGTACAAGGAGTTCATCGATCAACTCCAATTTCATACTAAATTGGTGGAGCACACCTCGATATTGTTTGTGGACGCTGGTATAGTTTGAACATAATTATTTTGAGTGCAACTGCTCATTCACTAAACTATTGTTCTGGGGACAAGTTCTATGTAGTCAATTGCCTCGATCTATTATTGATCATACTGAGTATTATTATTAAGAGTGATATTAATACTCTGTAATATTCAGTACAATAAAATATATCATATATAATTATGTTAAATATAATTGACATTGCCAATCACTAGTCTAGTGATACGAAGTTGCTCGATCTCTCGTGGAAGTGATATTGACTCTTTGTGTTTTAGTAAGTTGAGATTACTACAATTGTAACCGAGTTGTACTAAAAAATGGTAGTAGTATTTTGGTAATTAAATAGAATAATATTGAGTCTATTTATAATACTAGGCACCATATCTTTTTGTTATTGTAGAAAATTTCTTAAATAAACGTTGGGAAATGCTTGAAGATTTAAGTCCAGCATCTTATCATATAACTTTGGAATTGATTGCTACACATGTATAAGCAAATAAAGTTATGTTTTCACTAGTAGTTATATTTTTAATTTTGACGTAATGATAAACACTTAATCTTGACAATTGATAGGCGTTGGTGGCTATGCAAATATACAAAAATAAAATAATTATTATTTTAGAGCATTCACACTGCACCAACTAAAAATTAAAGTGAGATTTTTGTGCAACCCAAAGCTATATATGTAAGCAGAAAGAATAATAAATAAATAACAAAAAAGTGTGAGCGGTCACCAATTGGTGATCACTCACACACCCCTAGAAGGCACATGAAGATCACACTGCACGCAAACTCGGCTCATAAGAGCATGCAAAACACTCTTCTTCTTCTTTTTTTTTTCTCCAGTCCAAAAATCTCATCAGCATAGAAACTCTAGTACTCGCTCTCTTTTATATAAACTAAAAACTCCAAAAAAGTCTTCATCGAGATTTCTTTTACTAATTGCAACTAACTTTTAATATCGTTATAGATGCTTGATTTTGGTAATAAATAATAAATATTAAGTAATAATGGGTGAAGGCATGCTATGAAATTTATTCATATATGGTTGCATTTTCATATTCCATATGATGTTGAGTGCCTATGACTATAACATAGCAATTATTATATAATTTTATTGCTAACAACAACAACAACAACAACCAGGGACGGAGGGAGAGAGGGGGGGGGGCAGTGGGGGCGGCCGCCCCCTCTCACCCCACCCCACCCCGTATATAGTATTTATATGTATATATGTATATATAGTACATGTTTTAGTATTAGTATAAAAAAACTATAAAATATTAATAAGAAGTGAGTTAGAGTAGGTGGTAGTGCACAACTTTGGTAATAATGAAGTTAAGGGTTCTAATCTTAGCATCAACATAGTTTGTGTAATTTATAATGTGTTTTCTATTCAAATTATTTTATTAATTATGTGTCATATTTTGTTATGAATATTTTTATAAAGTTTCGATGTGTTTTATTTTTCGTCCATATCCAACAATATTTACAATTATATTTCTTAGGTAGTTTATTTATTTATTTTTAAATTATCTCTTTTGTTTTAATGTTTCGCCCTTTCTAGAAAAATTTTCTGAATCCGTCTGTACTGTTTCGCCCCCCCTCAACCGAATTTCTGGCTCCGTCCCTGACAACAACAACAACAACAACAACAACAACAACAACAACAACAATAATAATAATAATAATAATAATAATAATAATAATAATAATAATAATAATAATAATAATAATAATAATAATAATAATAATAATAATAATAATTTATCTTGTTACCCCTCAGACCTTTTTTGTGCATGTCCCATTCACCTTAGACAACTGACAGACCGTTCTTATACTCGTAGGTAGCTAAGGATATATTAATTGATGATGAATAACGTATAAGGTTTTGATTGCCTAATGCATTATACTTTATTGTATGCACATGTATATAGATATAATAATTAATTGATGATCCCCCCCCCCCCCCCACTACCCCTGTCTGTCTTCCCATGGTCGTTACATCACTCCTGTTGCTATCGGAGGGGTTGACCTATATCTGCCATCTATTGTGTGTGTATATAACTATATATACACATATATTATACATTCATATATGAATAAATTTATGGTCTTGACTAGTACTGCTGTCTATTGCATTCGAAATTGTAATGTATATATTGATATATGATTTTATCGGGTACAACTAGAAATCGTTACTAGTATAATACTATAATCTGGTACAATGTATATGTACATAGTATCGAGTGCAAAAGACTATTCTTGTATGTGTATATCATGTTAAGTATAGTTTTACATAAATGTTCTGTTTGGTAACATAGTTAGCTTATTAGTTAATTTTGATTTATTTGATCATTATTAGCTGTTTAACTATTTGATTTGGTTAAACAATCAATGTGAGTGTTTGATTAATTAACTTTTTGTAACAACTTATTGTTTTAAAATGGTAAAATTCAAAAGGATGTTTAAAATAGTTTTTCCGATCAGCTTTTTGATAAAGTCATTTTGCATGTAATCAGCTATCAGCTAATTTAGCAAACATTTTTTTTTTACAATAAGCTAATGATATCAACTATTAAAATCCACTAACCCAAATCAGCTAATTTTTTTTGGGTATACCCAGGATTTCCACCGTCGGACACAGTGACTAATCACCTCGTTGGATTGTAGGCACCTCTTTTAGGTGGGACAGCTAGCCTGGAGATTTAAGGCTGCTCAATTCCCAAAGCCAAGGATCGAACCTTTAACAGAAATCAGCTAATAACTATTATTTACCAAACACTCCCAAAGTATTCCTCTCAGTAAACTCGAACTCTATTATCCCAAATTAATTATACTATGTGATAGTAATCTACCTTGTGGTCCAATGGCACCAAATTATAACTCCCTTAAGTGGGAAATTGTGGGATCGCCTCTCAGGCTTTTTTTGCTTCAATTGATTGAGATAGTACGTAGTTATGCAGCGGAGGCGCTATTAGCTCTTTGTGCTTGAATTGATTGTGAACTAAAAGTTAAATATAATTGGGGATAAAATAATAAGTGGATTTCGCTAGATTACAAGATCTCCAAGGAATCCCATCAATTAGTGTTTCCTAATTTGATATATGCATCACATATTGGCTTCATTAAACAAGAAAGGGAAGGGAAAATAGAGATGAGGAGAATAATAATGTTTGGGGAGTTTGCCATTAATTATAGGAGCGTGTTTTACGGTGCAAGGACGGATACGCAAAAGCAGATTAAGTGCAAGCCACGTGGACAGTTCTGAGCCGTCCGTTCCATCATGCAAGGGCCAAGATTCACCCATCCTTTTAAATTTTTATTTTTTTTTGGTTGCAGCAGACTGCCACAGAAACTGCACCACCGTAGAAGAATGGCAACATCCCACTGTCTGCTCAAAAAACCACAGTCCTCTGTTTGCAGCCCAAAACTATTGCATATATAGAGAGAGAAAACCCCCCAAAACATTACTCCTAAATCCTACCCCCCATAGGTTTAGATACAGAGATACATAGATATAGAGAGAGAAAGGGAGAGAGAGAGAGATAGTGTCCTAATTGAGCTTCTTTGCCAGTGATCATGGCGGCGTTTGCAGGGCAGTGAATTCAATGCCCTCATAAACTTCAATATACCCTAAAATTTCCTCACCCTTTTCCCATCATTTCTCGCTCAAGAATCAACTGAGTTACCCGTAAAATTTCTTGAAGCCGTTCTTGAACCCACCCAGATTTTTATTTTTTTTGGGTGTCAGAATCTTGATGGTTTTAGACTTTTAGTGGTGAGTACTGAGGAACAGCTGGCTGCTAGGATTCAAAGTTTTCTTTTGTCAAACCCTATATGTTGAGATTAGCTTTTTGGGGGTGAAAATAATCAAAATATGATGGGTAATGGTAGGAGTAGAGTATTAGGGTAGGTTATGGATATGGTGACAAAATTGAGGGTAGAGAGAATAGGTGATTGTAGGAGTAGAAAATGTCCGGTTTTTTCAGCTTAGGTGGCGGAGGCTGCGGCGGAGGAGGCGGCGGAGGGGGAGGGGGAGGGGGGTCTGGGAAAGATCAAGATCATCACCACCCAGAATTGGGAGGTGGCAATAGTAATAGTAATTTGTTTTTGTTCAAGAATGAGGAGATCTACAACAAGGGTTTTGAGCTATGGCAGCAGTACTATCATATGCATCATCATCATCAACAGCGTGGGGTGCAGCAGCACCAGCTGGTGGATTTCTCCGTAGGAGTGGGGCCCAGCAGAAACGCCGGGCACGGCGGAGGAGGAGGCGGAGGGAGCAGTAGCAGTAGCGGTGGGAATTTGGTGGGGAGTGATGACCAGAATCCGGGGCCGAGTTTTAGGGTTCTGAGGCAGGGAGGAGGAGGAGGTGGTGGTGGGGGGAGTAGTAGCGGCGGAGTGAATTGCCAGGACTGTGGGAACCAGGCCAAGAAAGACTGCACTCATCTCCGGTGCCGGACTTGCTGTAAGAGCAGAGGGTTTCAGTGCCAGACGCACGTGAAGAGCACCTGGGTCTCCGCCGCCAAACGCCGTGAACGGCAGCAGCAGCAGCAGCTCTTCTCCCTCCAGCAACACCAAACTCAGCCGCTTAGCTTCCGTGCCGAAAACCCCAAACGCCAACGTGACAGCTCTTCCCCCCTCGCCTGCACTCGCATCACCACCACTTCTTCTGGTAATAATTTTCTTCAATTCTTTGTATCTTTTTACAAGAAAATCTGCAATCACTACTCGAGAGTATATGATCTGATGGGCAAAGGTCCCTAAAGAACCAAGCCTAACACTCAGAAAGATTGTTGGGCAGAGACCGGTTTGACACAAAATTGTGATGACTAATTCTGAAAATAAAATTGTGTCTTCGTTACTAATTATAACTTAGGTAACAAAGAATCACAAGAAATTAAGTCAGTTAGTCTGTTCAAACCAAAAAAGTTAATAGATGGCTTTTATGAAAAATTGAACTTAAAATCTTGTAGTTATTGTTATCCAGTTATTTTCTAGGATTCAAAGAAATGGTTTAGAAAACATGTTACAATTTTTTGTTTTGAATTATTCTTCTTCCATAATTATGAAATGTTTGGACGTGCAATCTTGACTAGGGTTAGAAGTGGGCGGCCACTTCCCGGCGGAGGTGAATTCTCCGGCGGTTTTTCGGTGCGTGAAGGTGAGCGCCATGGACGACGAAGTGGACCAGTACGCATACCAGACAGCGGTCAGCATCGGCGGCCATGTTTTCAAGGGAATTCTCTACGATCAGGGCGCGGAAACCCGGTACCCTTCCGCCGGCGGCGGCCATGAGGGCTCCTCAGGCAGCGGCGCAGCCCAGCAACCGCTAAATCTCATTTCCGGCGCCGCCACTAGCCACCAGCAAGCGGCGGCAGTTGCCACCATGATTGACCCTTCACTGTACCCAACTCCGCTCAGTGCATTCATGGCTGGTACGCAATTCTTTCCACCACCACGACCTTAAACACTGCAAAAGATGAGAGTTTTGTTGTGTCTGTAGAGAAAGAAAGAAAGAAGGCCAAATGGCTTCTGAGAATGACAAAAAGAGCTTAATTAGCTTAAACCTCCCAATTAATTGTTAATCACCTTTACTAATCACCTTATCCATTGACATCCTTTGAGCAAAACAATGACAAGGACGAGGAAACAATGTTTGTTTGTCAACACTTTAGTTGTTTCTGTTGGGAGGTTCAAGTATGATTTTGCTATGGTCATATTATTATTAGCTTAATTACTTGATTAATTGGTAATAATAATGTATGATGATTCATCTTATGGATAACATAACTCCATATTTATTGTACTTTTATGGGACATCTTCAATCCTGTCTTCTCGGAATTCAAATCAATTCTGGTTTACCTTATCGTGGTTTCTGTTGACTAGAATCATAAGGCGGGCTTTACATAGAATCTCCACACCTTCAGATAGTATTGAGGGTTTTCCGGAAATCAAAGAATTTAAATGAACTGTTAAAATATACTTGACAATTTGACATTCATCATCTATCTGTCTCATGAAATAATACTGTGGATTAAAACATAGAATATTAACTTATATTGTCTCATCATCAACTATAATACTTTAATTTAACTTTGATTGGATTAATATTACTGTTTTTTTTTTTTTCCTCTGAGGATTCCTGCATTATAGTGAAATGCATACATGTATACAAGTTGTGTTTGCAGAGCCCCGGACCTTATGTTGTATCTCTCGTTTTGGTAGAACATGAGAGAGGATATATATAGACTAATGTTCAAGTGCATCCACCTGTTCCCGTGAAACCCTTCATAAATGCACAAAAGCTAGTACACGAATGCATACAGTATAGCTTGTGTGCATTCATGCGGGGCGAATTGCATACAATCTAGTCTGTATACATTCGTGTAGTCACTTTTGTGCATTTATGAAGGGTATCATGGGACTCACGGAAAAAACTAGTCTCATTTGATTATTACTTTATATATATGCATGCCATGTATATGTTGTATGTATATATAGGTATTTGAGAGTGTTTTATGGTTCCTTGTTCATGCTTTGCTTTCTAGGTTTTACATCTTAATACTCTTAAGTGTGATTTCCAGTTGGTTTTATGGTCGGTTTTAAATATAGGATGCCAGCTGCCCATTGCACCTTATCTGTTGTTTGTCGGATGAAAACTCAATTGATGTTTCTCATGTGTTAATTGGTTGGAAATCAAGGTTATAATAATGTTATTTAGTGGTATGTTTTTTATTTATAACATCATTTTACGTGAAACATGTAATGTTGTACAAAGAGTCAATATCGTTTTTATTGGAGCTCTTTTTATTTGAGAGAATCACTTCATGTCACTTGATCACAAGATCATTGACGTCGTATGTATTTAATTATTGTTAATAATTTGAATTTTGGAAGAAATGAAGAAAAAGAATTGAAGTTCACATTTGCGGTCCAGGTCTGCATGTGTTCCATGCAAATGGCAGATGTCAATTAAGCATTGCTGTCCTAAAAATTGTACAATCTAAGCCATGAAATCTCCTCTCCCCAGCCCCCACTCTATCTAAAACCCTAAATAAAGTATCCCATGCCTCTACACTTTGGGACACAGGGAGAGAGAGAGAGCACTTTCTCCCCTACATGCAGGCATGTTATGGTCTAGTTTTTGTTTTTTTTTTTTTTTTTTTGTTTTTTTTTGTTTTTTTAAATGAATTTTTGTCAATCAAATTCTACTAATTATGTTGTTTTACATCTTGCTTTTGTGAAATGATATTCTATCTTCCTTTTATACTTTTCATAAAGTAATCGTACAACATCACTAACAGATCAGAAGACGTGATATCTTTAAATAATATAATTATTTTTTATGTGTTTACATATACAAATTATCGATAGAGGTTCATTTCTTTATGGGAGCTAGGACCCGACCTTCTAATACTCATATATATACACACACATGAAAATTCTTCGATGTTTGATTTATTACTCCAGCATCTCCTTTTTAAGGTGTTATTTGACATCTTAGCTTATTTTAAGATATTCTATTATTTTCTTATGTCTTTAATAAAGTAATTGTACAACAAAACTAACAAGAGATGATATCAAGTAATGTAAACTCTTTCATATGTGTACATATTAAACTTATTATCAAAAGGTTGATTTAGTTAAAAGAATTAAGACTACTCATAATAAGACAAATAAAGTTTGAATCTTTATTTGAAGGCCCCTACTAATAAAACCCCTAAAATTATCTCAATGATTAGCCTTCTTAACCCTATATGTACTAACAAAAAAGTTGATCTCTCTTATTCCGATGTCTCCTCCCTAAACCAGAAATATGAGGGTTATGTTAGTCGTATCAATTAAGTACTTAAAAAAAAAAAAAAGCAATGGTTTCTTCCAAATTTATCCCCTAATTAATTCCCTTCTTTTAACATGGAAGCATTGGATAGAAGACAAGTTTGATTCTCAATCGGCCTCTTCGATTTGAGATGATCAGCAATGAAAAACCTAAATTAATTTATCTGTTTGTGATTATTTTCCAGTCAGACTGTATTGCATCTTCGAATAGTGCCAGTTGTGAGACTTTTCGTAAACCAAAGCATTGATAAAAGACACAAAAATCTTTCCCTAAATCCACTTCACATTGGTGTATGTGTTTAGTTGGTTTATCTATGATAGTGAGATGGATGAATTTGGGGGATTTAAATTTTGGAATAAATTAAAAATATGCATGTGATGATGGTAGGTTATCAAAAGAGATATAAATCTAAAGAGTAGATGTGGCTAAGGTACATACTGCTACTGTACTATAGGAAATGGCATGTTGAAAGCTGCTATGTATGTAGATAATAGGCTTCTTGATTTGGTACATTATGGAGAAACAGAAGAAAAGCAATGGGTTTTCCTTAGATTTGAAAATTTCTTCTCCCCCATAACCTTGAGTACTATATATATTTTAGTGATAGAATAAAATCTTCACTCATTGTCCAATAGTGTGCACTAGATAAATTCAGAGGCTCGACTGAGAGGGTAGTATTGACAGAAATCAATAGGAAGACGTACTCTATGCAACAGGCTCGACTGAGAGGGAATTGACAGGAATAACTAGTAAGACTCTATGCAACGAGCTCGACTGAAAGGGTATTGGCAAGAATCGGACTTGTGATCTTTTGCTACAATAATTATGTTTCATCTACTTGACACCCTTTTATCTGAGTGACAAAAAAAATCTGTAACGACTATCTAAGGGTGTGCACTGAATAAACCATTTTGGGGTTTTATATATATATATTGAATATAATTTAATTAACCTATTAGGACAGACCAGTCTACCAAAGGATACACATACTTTAGTCTGCTCTTATGATCTTTTAAAGATAGGCCCTTTTTTGTCCTATGTTTTTACGTTTACTCACAAGGTTTTTAACTGTGCTGTTGCCTGCTGCAATGAGTCAATGACAACCAGTTCAGCTGCAGACTAGCTAGGTTGCTGACTTTTTTTTTTTTTTTTTTTTTTTTTTTTAATGTGATTTACCTAATTTCCGATGCATAAAATGTTGCCACAATGTGAGTTGCGAACTACAGACAAAAAAGATTCTGGGATATAGTCCTAGGTAGAATGAGATTATGATGACCACTTACACAAAGGTTCACAGACCATACTTCATTTATATTTATATCAATAATATCATAACAATAGCAATATAATACATTATATATTCATTGTTAAACAATTAATTTAAAAAAAAAAAAAAAAAAAAAAAAAAAAAAAAAAAAGAGCTTACATGCTGTTTACCTGTAGATTCCAAAGGATAGCCCATGCCAGCTTTATGGCTTTTCCTTTCTTTCCGGATTTTCCTAATTAAAGGAATACTTTAGGCCCTTTTCATCAGCACATGAATTAAAAAAAAAAAAAAAAAAAAAAAAAAAAAAAAAAAACTAATTGTATTTAATATATTTTTTTCGATGATGGGAGAAACTTAGAATTATCATGCAAAGGTATGTATTCGGTAAACAACTCTACGTCTCTACCACACATGAAAGTTAATAACATAAAAACTACATAGGAGATGTAAACTGCATTAAGAAGATTATGTGCAACGAGCTTTGTCAAAAAATGTGTTGACAATAATTAAATTTATAACTTTTAGTTTATTAAGTACAAGAGTCATGAACAGATACTACATTTTAATAGAACCAGTAACATTCAAAAAAAAAAAGGTACAAGAGTCATGCTCCACGCATCTACCTACTTATTCAGTTTTGTTTTTTTGTTTTTTTGTTTTTTTTTTGGGTTATAAACGACACATTTATCAATTTCTTTGTAATTGAAAGATTTCATTTTCTTATTTTATAAAACTTGAATTTTAGTCAATTTATTTTCTGAGTATTTTATAAGTAAAAAGTTGTAAATCTGGGATTCTATATCATAAAAAGAAGAAAAATTATGATATGACTTCCTGGTATTTTGGATTCAGCCTGAGAAAGGGGAACTGGTCCGGTCAAGAGTCAAGACCGGCCTACCTATTTCAAATAATACTGAATCCCTATCATACTTTAATAACCTAGCTAGCCTTTGTTGTTCAATACTTATTAGGTAGAGTCGGGTCTAAAATACACAATTTATATATTAAATAATATTTATAATTTATATATTTAATGTTCACAATTTACATATTAGATATTCATAATTTATCTTTTATAGAATTGTAAACATTCAATATATATGTAAATTGTGTATTTTAAACTCAAATTCACAGAATAATTTGCCTTTGTTGTTGGTTTTACTTTTTAATATATATCTTTTAAAATACTTTTGAATATGGATAATTTTTTGACCAAATATTAAAACAATCATGTTAGGTTTTTCATGGGAAGTCCATAATAATAATTTTATAACTTCATGTGGCTTTTGATTCAAAGAATAAAAAGATATAGAATAAAATAGAATTTTGACTGGAATATAATAGGAATACTAGTATATTGTTTGGTTTATAAAATGAATAAATATAGAATTTTATGAGGAATTATATTCTTGTACTTGGTTCAATCATTTAAATCATTAAATATATATAAAAGGGATATCATTTAAATAATCAAAACGTCCCTATTCAAAATAAATATAAAAAAAAAAACATACAAATGTTAAATGTATATATACAAGTAATAAACAAAAAAAAAAAGTGATAAAGAAACAATATATTGTACACGAAGTGGGTTTTCGTCCGTGTATAGTATATGTGTATATAATGTGAAACTATAAAATAAAAATAAAAAAGCATGACTTACTGATGGTGGAAGTCGATAAAATAAACGTAGGAGTTTAAAGGAAACTTGAGAATATATGTATTTATAAGGTTTTATAGTGATATTTTTGGATTAATAATAAAATTTAAAAAAAAAAAAAAAAAAAAAAAAAAAACAAATCCTAATGGACTGAAGTCTGGGAATAGTCAATACCAAATTACCAATGGAGGCCTTGAAAATTGCT